TCATCCAATAAGAAGCGCGTATTTGAGAGTTAATCACTATTTAACTACAAAATAGTGATTAAAAAAGTGATTAAGAGTTTTATACAACCGGCCCCAGGACGATAACAAGTTGTTGGAACAACTTGTAACAGGTCTGTTGAGCTCAACAACCTTGTAGCAAGTTGTCAAAAAAAAGAAGAAAAAAAGTTGTCAACAAGCCGTGTTTGCTGTCAATCCGAACATGTAATAGAAACATAGGCAGCATGAACTAGAGTTGCATTACTATATCTGGTGCTTTTTATAGAACAAAATTCTTTGTATTTGTTCCGTTAGTCGAGTGCTTGAGGAAGGGGGCCAATATCAATATAATTTTATTATATAATCAAATCTCATGATCAATATATCACTGATGTGTGTTCGTAATCGCTGCATGTGCTCGACATGTGCTTGACATGCACACTATATATAAAGGTTATATGTCATTCACATCACTTGTACGGAAGCGCATTTTTAAATGATGGATACTTATAACAATATATACGACAGAGGAACCTCGATACCATGAGATTCATCATCGTACATTTTCTCAAAAATAAAATCTTTCGAAAAATTCCGAAATCATTCCACCAAAAATTTTGTAATCCTAAAATCCAAATCTATAAAATTACTAAAAATCCCACAAAATAACTGAAAATTACTGAAAATTGCTTTCAAAATCCCCATATCTCCCGGCTCAAAATCCTAAATCTTGCCAAAAATATTGGCTTGAAAATCGGCTGGAAATCCGTGTCGCGAAATTTCAGAATCCTTGCGTATTTTTGCAGCCGGGATTTTGAAATCCCAAAAATTCTCGTCCGCTTTTAGAGTAATGCACTCCTCGGAAAATACATGGTTAAAGGCGCTTGAATTCGATGTCCTCACGGCCAGAAAATCTTTCTTACTGTCATTCTGACGAGGGAACTTTTCCCAAAACGTCGAAAAGTGGCTATTTTGTTAGGTACAGCAAATACTTGCCTTTTCTCGCCCCTGCTTGCATGCAAGATATATCATATCACAAAAATAGCATGGCAATTTCCAGTGTCATTGTGGTTGCTTTTAATACAAATGAAACAAGAAGAAAATATTAATTAACGGCTTTTCCAGACGTGTCTTTATTTTGCACATGAGTAATAAATGAAATATGTTGTTTTTCACGACTTTGTAAAATGTTGTTTGACAAGTGCATCTTTTCAAATACAAGCATACCAAATATGGTTCGAAAATTTCAACCCTTTTTTGTGAAAAAGCTTGTCAAAAATGCTTACGAATGATAATATGTTGTTGATGGCGAAACAGCCATACATATATGTGTCTTTCAATTCTTTAAGCAGAGCTCATATACGCTGTTATCTGGTTTTAATAGTAATTCAGTTTCCCCTGAGTTTATTACGGGAAAAAACAACTACACAAATTTTATTCCTAATTTTACAATAATCACCAAATCATTTTGGTTTATTTTCTCATAGCCTTGGATAACCATCAAATATCGCTGACGCATGCGCGTTGGCGTTATCAAAATGTCGTGTCAACAGCAACTGCATGTTTTATTACAGATGTCATCTAATTTTAGCTTCGAAGCTGCACAAACAACATATTCGAATGTTATTTTGCCGCTAGCCTGAACTATTTTAAGCCACAAAACTAAGAATATCATGAACTGTTTGCTATTATCGTTCTATTTGTTCATTTGACAAACTCTGCCTTTGAAATCAGACACATTCTTTTGTCGTACGAATTTCTATGGACATAACGCGTAGTTGTTATATTTTTGAGGAAAAAACAATCACGTATTTATATATAGTATATATTTAGCATTTCGCAAAGATTACGATCGCGGTTAACCGGTATATTCATCCGATTCCAAACAATGTATTGAGGAAAATCCCGGCTTACGTATCCAAAGCTTTGCCGAATAAATTAAGAAAAGTGTCAATTGTTTGCAAGCTTTGCAAACTTTTAAATATAGTTTTTCACAATGTCGAGATTTTATACCGAAAAAGGTGACGAGTTTAACAAATGAAGCATGCTGGCTGCGGTATTGAAAATTTAATTAAAATATCGCCAGGCCAATGGCTTTTCTTGTAGAGAACCACGGATATTTGATGCATAGCCTGTCCAAGGTTTTCGGTATATTCACTGATGACTGTGGAGCCCTTATTCTTCGCTGTAAACATATGCCCTGCAGTGCGAACACAATGCGCGACCCAGGATGCCTTTCTATATATTCTTCTCTCCATATATTTGTGCCATTTTAAATCGTCGGCATTTTAGTTGTATGATTAGGATTGATCGCGCCATTGTTATTTCACGCTAGCAAATGAAAGGCGATGGACAATAGGTTGCTCGCGTAGTCATTAGATTAGTAACTACAGCCCCACTGGCAAGACTCCAAGCGAGCACGGGTTTATTTGCTTTATTGTGCGGACATTAAGATGGTAGCCCAGATTTACGCAACGATAAGATCACATAGACGGATAATGGAGGGATAATTTTAACCCATTTCAATCGAGGTCCGTGCAGTTTAGACGGTATTGTTCAAGTGAAGATCGGCTGTCATGTTGTCCGTCAAAGACTTGGTTTTGGGTCTGGGCGGACATTTCGAATAAAAAAAGCATAGTTAAAACCCGGGAAAGTAAACTCAAACTGAGATGGTAAAAAAATCTATTCTCTGAAATATAATTATACTATAGAGTGATTACAAATTAATTTGTCCAAGTTAATTGTTTTGTCTTGAGGAAAACTTGGCCACCTTTATTTATTTGAGAAAAAAACTAACTTGCTATTTTGAATGCTTGCAGGATTAGAAAAACAACAACAGGGTTTTGTAGATGGAAATTTTCGAGTGTGAATTTTATACATTTGTTAGATCTACCAGGAGAAGTTGTGAAAAATGCAACTTTTGGACCTCTCGCCAGGAATCGTACATGCGACCCTGCGATTCCGGTGCAGCGCTCTAACCAACTCGGAGCTACAGAGGCCAGTTGTCAAGTTCTACCCACAAGTTCATGTATCAACTAAGGTGATAAGCCAACTATAGTTCCAATGCCATATGAAAAAAGAGCATCAGTTATACCTAAAATCTCATTGGCAATGTTTTCATAACAATAAATTTACGGCATATGTACTCTTACTGAGCTTATTATTCTAGCAAGACCATAATGCATCACGATTCAACTTGGCGTCGCTATTGATGAAACTGTCAATTAAGGAATTATTTAGTCTCAAATTAAAATGCCCAGACTTAGCTAGAGACTTAGCTATTTAAGTTTAAGGATAACTTTTATTGAATTAGTGTTTCATTGTGCCTTTATAAGCTTTCGGCTACTTTGACAATATGCTTTGAAAGTGTCAAAAATTTAGTTGCGATAAAATTGTTCTTCAAATTCTAAGGTTGTTTCACAAGTATTGTTATGAGATAATATCTTTTACAAAGATAAGCATATCATACGAATTTGTGAACAAAGCAAGTAATTATGTTTAAAGGATTTCGGCGGCTTATGAAATAAGAATATCAAAAAGATTCCAGAGTGTTCTGTCGACAAGATACATTTTAGTTACAATTTTTGCATTGCGAAATATGTTTTGATTCGATCTAGAAATCTCTGGTGGACTCTGGTTTTTGCAAGCTGGGAAAGAGCTAGAGACTTCTGAATTAAAATTGCAAGGGGGTAAAATCTTCGGTTAAAGGACAACCTCGTCAGTAGCTGTGCTATTTATAACTTGACCTCCTCCATTGCAAAAGTCCGTTTATTAAGTTTACCGTCTAAAATAGATGGGCGGAGATGAAGGCGGTGGGCTGTATAGTTGAATACAACCCGAACATGAATGCTGTATATAACATGTGATTTGTTTTGACGAATGCGTTCGCATTCTTTAATAATACGAATGACTGTTGATAAGAAAAACGTCAAGTTTATTTAAATCAGCAGGATTTTGTATCAAACATACAACCTTCCAAAGCATGACAAACTATCGAAGACTAAAAAGCAATGTCAACAGTCGTGTGTCAATACAATATGTAAATCAATCAATTGATCTTTTTCCGATTTGTCAGGAGGCAAATGTGCTGTCTCCAAAGAAAGTACATGTGCAGACAACATGAAACTTTACACTGCAGAAAATTGCACAAGCAGTTATACCATGCACGATTTAGAGTGGCTTTATTATGGCACTCAGTTGTAACACTGTTACAAGTGTTACACTGTGTTAAACAATGTTACATATTCTTACATAGTGTTCCAGTGCTACATAGTGTTACACAGTGTTACATAGTGTTACACAGTGCTACACATTGTTACATAGTATTACACAGTGTTACATAGTGTTACATAGTGCTACATATTGTTACATAGTGTTACACAGTGCTACATAGTGTTACACAGTGTTACATAGTGTTCCACAGTGCTACATAGTGCTACAGAGTGTTGACAGTGTTACATAGTGTTACATAGTGCTACACATTGTTACATAGTGTTCCACAGTGCTACATAGTGTTCCACAGTGTTACATAGTGTTACACAGTGCTACATAGTGCTACAGAGTGTTGACAGTGTTACATAGTGTTACATAGTGTTACACACACTAACCCTAACCCCACCCCTAATCCTACCCCTACCACTAACCCTACCCCTAACCCCACCCCTACATAAAGATAGTGTAACACTTGTAACACTGTTACCCGAGTATATACTTGATAATACACTCTAAATCATGTATCATAAGCAGTTATCAAATTCTTGCCACCGAAGTGATAAAGGACATGTGTGACAATCAGCAAAAGTTTTACCAACAAAAACATTTTTCTTCCTTGTCATCCTCCTCCATAAATAATGACCACTCCTATCACGAAGTATTCCGTACGCGCAGCGCACCTATGTTTTTTCCATCCGATATAGTCCAGTTTGGACCATGAGGTCAGTGTATAAATTGAGCCGTTTTCTATTAACGCACAGCGGATTCACAACAAAAATCATTTTTTCAATATGGCGGACGCAGGTGAGCAATTTTGCGATTTTATTTCGTTTTATTTTGTAATTTTGACAGGTTTTCATGCGTGATTTTCTCTTTTATAATGTGTTGTGTTGTTTATAAACTATTAGACTGTTGTATTTCAGCGAGAGATTTGTTGTATTCCTTATAAAACGGTGATATATATTCAATATCTTCCGGGCATGGGGCAGTGTATCAATATATTGCATAGGGCAGTACCCATGTACGGTACATTTGTAACTTATATTATTCACTGAGACCGAGGAAAACAGCGTGTTTTGTGCCCCGAGACCACTGTAAATAAGTGTTTTATTATATAGCAATTGTCAAAGTCTCAATTATTCAGCTGGTATTCCAAAAGTGTAATAAAACCGACCGGCAGACATGCGTAAACTCTTGAAAGAACTTTATTTTGAACTTGCTGGTTCATGCGAACAGCTTGTGCCTCACTTGCAGTTTTATTATTGACCGGTCAATAATAGACAATTCCCATTATAGACTAATTTTTTATCTTGGCAAAAAAAGTATATTCCCGGAAAGAGCATACTAAAATGAGTAAAATTGCAAAGTTTGGTTGCAAAATGTTGTAAAATGCGTAAAAAATATAGCTTGCAAAGTTCGCAAATTTTGTATACTTTTTTATGTGCAGAAATTGCTACCACATTTCGGCCCAAATGTGGCAGCAATTTCCGCACGCAATACAAAAGTATACAAAATTTGCAAACTTTGCATGGATATATTTTACGCATTTTACAACATTTCGCAACCAAACTTTGCAATTTTACTCATTTTAGTACACTCTTTCTAGCTGTGGTGATTTATTTGCATCTCCTTGTCTAGTTTCAAAATTAGTCTATAATGGGAATTGTCTATTGTTTCATTGTTGACCGGTTGCCCACTCACCAAAGCATGCAGTGAACATGACATTTTGTGGACCGACATGTGATAAAGTTTTGTCCAATGGCAAACAGGAAAATTAAACTTGGACACTTGGTATATAATAATTTATATATTAGTCAGGCAGATAGAGGACCACAATTATGGAAAACTTGGGACAATTCCATTTTGCCTTCATATTGTGCCCTGAAGGCTAGTAAGTACGTTTCTGTATGTTGGCCGCGTTAAAATTTCTTGTGGGCTCCTACCGACATGTTTTTCTTCGAATTTTGTATTATGAAATTTCTGATGCATTTCTAATACAAATGACTTGCATCAATAGAAAGCTAACAAAAAATTACATATAAGACATTTAAATGCTTAGTTGGGATTTTCGAGTTGTTGCTGTTTTAAATGTGAAAAATCAGCCAAAATCTCGCAAAATTCCTGGGTACTAGTCTGAAAACACGCATTCAACAGCTCATAACTCACGAAGAACTTGAAAAACCTGGGTAACCGTTTAAATGTCTTATATGTAGTTTTTTGCAAGCTTTCAAATGATGTAAATCATTTGTGTTAGAAGAAATGTATTTGAAATTTCACATTTTTTAACTGTAATAGAGTTTAATACAACATTCGAAGAAAAACGTGTCGGCAGGAGCCCACAAGAAATTTTAATGCAGCCAACATACAGAAACGTACTTACTAGCCTTCAGGGCACAATATGAAGGCAAAATGGAATTGTCCCACGATATAGTAAGTTTTTTCCTTCTATATCTGCCCGACTATACTGTATTTGTTCAATTCCTGAATTGTTTTGTTCAGATCTGGAGTTGGATTCAGAGCGGGCGTCGGCAAACTTGACGCACCAGACGGTGAGGAAGAATATTTCATTGAAACTAAAACCCAAAACTGAAGGAAAGTCGAAGAAAAAAGACAAGAAAAAAAGCGAGAAGAAAATCCATAGTGAAGGTAGGGCAACTAGTTGTTTAGGTGCCATTCAGCCAGGGTGAATTTCTCAATTTTCTGCCCTGAAGATTTTTTCGAATTCATGTAAAGCTGCGCCAAAATCTGTGCCAAGAAAATCGTCGCAAAAAAATATGCGGTTTTTGGGAATTTCCGAAATTTTCACCTATGCGGGTGGGGGCTGAGAAACTACAGTAATATGCAACAAATACTGCAGTGGCGTTATGTAAACATGTGCTCAAAACTATTGCTCAAAACTATTGAATATACTGAGTGTACTGTTCCACTTGGCTAGGCGTAAAAAAAAATACCTGTGGTTCCGGTTTCATATCGTGAAGAAATTAGGGTCGGTAGGTCGGAAATAGATTAAAAAAATTTTTTTTTTCATGGTTTTGGCAGTTTTTTGCTGGGAGATTTGCAGTAGAGTCCCGACATCAATATTAACTAGAGATGCGTATTTCCTATGGACGAATTTAGACAATTTGGTTCAATAATTAGTGTGACAACAGACGCCATTTTGGCACACTGTTGAAAAAATAATAGGGTCGGCAGAAAAAAATAGAGTCGGTCGGGAACCAGAACCACAGGTATTTTTTTTACGCCTTATGACTATATTTAAATTTTTTATACGTTTCTCAAGCAGCAGCAAACTTAAAAAGTATGTTTAGTGTGGTTTACTGTATCTGTAAAATGACAACATTTAGTTTGACAACTGAACTTGTTAGTATTGCATAGTTACAGTGTCCAATTTTTCAATGTTCTCTTGTCAGGGCGCAAAATACAGTAACGGCCGGCCAACGGAAAATGTCCGGCCAGAATGCGGAGTTGTCCGGTCAAATTCTTACCTTGCTGGTTATTTTGACAGGTCACTTTTGGTAAAAGAACAAACTAATCTTCATTTGAATTAATAATCAAAATACACAAAGTTGTCAAGTTTTATAAATAAGAACCAATTTTTTGGTGTCGAATATTTTGCGGGAAAAGAACTTCAACGTACGCCAGCTTTCCCCCAACGCATTACGTCACAAAGCCCATGGCCATGCCTTTCGCTTAAGAGTTAAGGCCATGCTTTTAGCGCAGTGCAAGCTGTTTTATGTGAAGGATTAATTACTGATTACAGTAGTCAGTAAGGCTTTTTGTAATGCTATACTGGGAAAATAGTCACTTTTTTAGGGGTATACTTTACTAGGCTTTGCTTTAAGCTGAATAATTTGACCGGCCAGAAAATCGGTATCTCCGAGCTAAAATTGAGTTGGCCGGTAACATTGACCGGCGATCCTCCAGCCGTTATTTTGCACTCTACTTGTGGTCCCAGGAAGTAAAATTTTTTTCACGTTTGCAGGTGAGAAAGAGAGCAAGAAGAAAAAGACATCAAGCGAATCAGCGTCTTCTGCAACAAAACCTGTCAATGAATTACTTTGGAATCAACCGGTAGATCACTGGACCTACACAGTACTCAGTAGCGTAGCCAGTCCGACCATTTAGTCCCGCTAGTATGCAAATATTTTTGTGTTCATTGCCTGTGAAAACAATCAATTTCTAAAGAAATGAATAATGCTAATAATTTTGAATTTGCATAGCGGGACTAAATTGTCAGGCTGGCTCAGGGGCGGCGGAACAGGGGGGGCTAGGGGGGCTAAAGCCCCCCCAGAAGTAAAAGTGGGGGGGCTTAGCCCCCCCAGAAAATTTGAATTTTTTGAAAATATTTTGATAATTAGGGAAAAATTTAGGTTATTTTTTGAAAATTTAGGTATAAGAGTACAAATTTGCAATATTTTGTTTAAAAAAAGTGTATTTCCGAAAAACAATTTTTGATATAAGTCCGAAAAAATTTTTTTCGTCCCTTTTTTTGTATATTGTACCCCTAAAGTGGTGCACTGACCGAAATTTTTTTGGCGACGGGGGGGGGGAGGGAGGTCGCCGAAAAAATTTAGCCCCCCCAGAACGAAATCTGTTCCGCCGCCGCTGCTTCTCTTATTTCCGTTACTAGAGAGCTTGACACCTGCATGTATGGCGTTATTTATTTTCAACTACAGAATTATTATTAAAATATTTATTACTGTTTAATTCCAACAAAAAATAGCAAAGATATATGCAATATTTATTCAATATAATTACACTATGCACTTATGAACTCACATAGACATGTATGGACCATTAATCGCGTAATAGCTACATCCACATATAAAGGGAAAGTAGATGTCTTGAGTTTTTCGTCTTAAATGGAAAACTTGACTTAAATTTATATTACATGCACGAATAAATCAAGACGGTTTCAAGCTGGTGTTTAAGGGTCTTCAAATTATCCAGGTTTATCTGTCCGATGGTTTTTTCCCATGTTCGTTTTATACGGAAATCCGTCTTCTAAAATGACAATTCAGCTAATCTACTTAAAAATTACAATTGAATAAAGAGAGCACACAGATACTGTATGGTTCTTCATAAAAAATGCCTTTAGACGAATGTCGTTATATTTATATTAGGAGGAACGAGATAAATTGCATAAACTCGAAAAAATCATAAGTTATAAAATACCTCATTTTTTACAGGGAGCATTTCGTTTTCCAAATCGTATCGTCCCAGTTCTTTCAAGCACATTTTCAAATTACAACGATCGAAATACTTGCTGTCATTAAAATACGTGAAAATTTGCATGGCTTTTAAAAAAAAGCTAGAATATATATAATTGTCTCTGATTTGCTCTCGTTTTGGATACGGAACATCCATGAGCCCTGCCAGGCTGTCGTAATCTACTCCAATCATATCACTCATTCTAATTTTTTCTTCTTTTGTGAGTTTTGTGGTGTGGTTTCGACCTACAAACATGAAACAAAGATTAAGTACTGTACTTTATATAATAACTACAGTGAAACACGCAATTTGATTGGTCACCAGCTGTGCAGGATCAGACAATCCTGCAAGGGAAATTTTAAACAGAAATTCTTGCACATAATTTTACAAATATACTGGCATTGAAAAGTTTCATTGTACGATATCTTTCGACTTTGAAGTGAGTCTGCAATTATTGAGATGTTGGTTTAGTTGTATGAATAAATTTCAGATCGATACATTGCTGTTCAGCAAGTAACAACGCGTAGCGTTGAAATTCATCAGTCCATAGCAATTGGCAAGTACAACATCTCTCGCTTCAAAGTTCAAACGCTTCGCAATCTTCAAGTATTCAGGACGAGAATCTTCAAAACTACTTTAGCTCTCTGTTTAGCGGATTTTCCATTTCCAGTAATTTTAATCCAGTCAACCATCGTCTCACAGTAGTAATGTTATAAAACATTAATCACCAAATGGTTTTCCCGTGCAGGATAGCATGATCCATGCACTTAGGATGTTGCTCGACTTTCGGAAAGCGCAAAAATGCACTCGCCTACGGCTCGTGTATTTTCACGCTTTCCGAAAGTCTCGCAACATTCCGCGTGCATGGATCACGCAATCCTGCACGGAAAACCATTCGGTATTCCTTTAAGGAGGCTCCCTACAGTTCCGTGCGGGATGTTCGCGCGACAAGTACGTGAACTATCCCACGCAACTGCATGATCAAAACAAAACAAAAATTGACCATTCTTTTTTTTTAAATAAAGCTATTTCT